AAACATATATGTTTATATAGGTTATTTCTGTGTGGGTAGCTTTTTGCTGTGGTTATATAAATGTAGCTTTGGCTTTCTCCTTTAATAACTGGGAAAATGGTTAAAGTAATATTACAGTGGTACCTCGGTATACGTCCTTAATCTGTTCCGTCTTCCCCATAATATCCGTCCGTCCGTCTTTCAGTCCATCTTATCAGGAAAGGGTCACTGACGGGGTGGGGGGAGCAGGGTTTGGGGGGTTTGGGGGCTATCCCAGGCATTAATGGACCCGGGGGGGTACACCCTGCACAAGCCGCATACACACTCTCATTGAAACACTACATGCAGGTTACAGAAGCAGAGGAGCTGAACTGCATGTCTTTGGGTGGCTGAGGAAGCTGCAGCCCCCAGAGGAAACTCACACAGCATGGGGGGAGCAAGCAAACCCCCCCCCCACAAAGACATGAGGCAGGACTGGAACCCCAACCCTGCAGGTGTGAGGTAACAGTGCTACACACTGAGGTCCCCCCCTCCTTCACACAATAGATTTTTCAAATATAAAATATATTCCCTCCATTCATGTATTTTCTGTACCCACTTGCCTATTCAGGGCTGTGGGGGGTCCGGAGCCTCTCCTGGAAGCTATGGGCACAATGCCAAAATATATATTATATTTGTACTGATCAGCAGCACTATCAAGGTGTAAAATCTTATTTTACTGGTACAACTGGTTCTGTGAAATGAATGAACCACTTAGCAAAGTGCTAAAATCATTATCCTCCCCCTCAGCACCTGCAGTGAGTCCCAGCTGCAGCAGTGCAGTCACTGTGCAGTCTGACTCAGGGAGGTTTTTGTACGGCTCTGTATCACTGTGTGAACACAACTTTACTATTGATCTCATGGTAACTCAGACAATAATAATCTCCTGCATCTTCAGCCTGGACTCCACTGATGGTCAATGTGAAGTCAGTACTAGATCCGCTTCCACTGAATTGAGAGGGAGTCGCATCATTACGAGTAGTTGCACGATATATTCGGAGTTTAGGAGCTTCTCCAAGTTTCTGTTGGTACCAGGCCATGCGGGGGCCATTACTATCAGCATACACAGGGCTGCTGGTTTTACAGTTTATAGTGACTGTCTGTCCTGAGGAAGCTGATATCAGCTCTGGAGTCTGAGTCACAGTCACTTGTCCTCTTGATTCTGAAAAGGAATACAAAATAAGAACATGTTAAATACTGAATTAACAGTTAAAATTAAGTCACACAATGAAGCTCCAGGTGTCTATTTCAAATCTTTAGCAAAATTCAACAGGCAATTTGTTGCTAATTTTTTCGGCTTGTTCCATTTTACCGTGAGTGAGGATGAAAAGCAAGATGCTGAGGCTGATCAAAGTCATGTTTGCTTGGAGTCTATTGTGATGAAGGGCAGCTGTCCGTCATGAAGTGTTAAACCTCCTGGAATATAAACCCTCCCAGAGCACTGAGGCATGAGCTGAAATGCAAAGTTTCTTCTGATTGACATCATAACCGCAGAGGGAACATGAGACTGTGTCAGAGATGGTCAGGGGGCATGTTGATGAGTTCAGCTACTGAAGGGAAGAAGCTGTTTTTGTAGTATGTGGTTCTGGTCCTGATAGACCTGAGTCTCTTGCCAGAAGGTAGTTTTTTAAACAGTCCATGTCCAGGATGTGAGGGATCAGCCACAATCTTACCTGCCCGTGTTGGAGGTCTGGAGGTGTGTAGGTCCTGTAGGGATGGCAGATTGCAACCAATCACCTTCTCTGCAGTCTGCCCTTGTCCATGGCAGTGACAGCAGTGTACCAGAGGGTGATGGAGCGGGTGAAGATGAACTCGATGATGGTTGTGTAGAAGTGCATCATCGTTGTCCTTTATGGTATGCCAGAAGACGTCGTACGCGAGTGGGGACCGCATTTTACGCAAGAATCTGGAAGACATTTTGTCATAGGATGGGGATTGCCTTGAGTTTGTCATCTGACTCCCACCCACAAACCAATAGTCAATGTGTCACACACTGCATCCCTTCCCCTTCGTTCTCTCCATACTTGTTTAATCTCAACTATCGTTACAGCCCTTGTGTGGATCACCCCAGGTACCCCTATACTGCTCCTTCATCAGTGATGTATATAGTGTCTCCTTGTCTCGAGGTCCCTAGTCCAGTCATTGATGTTGCTGTCTGTCTGTGTTCCACAGTGTGCCCAGTGTCTCGTGTGCCCTGTGCCCTCCCTACTCCGTTTTGACCCCTCGTGATCTATTTCCTTTTGCCCTGCCTGTAATTTTATTTAATAAAGCCCCTTCCGGAATTCCCCACGCCTGCCTCCGCTTCCGTTCTTACCTGTGACAAGACACAATGGGAGCATCTGAATCAAGACCTCGGTTGGTTCCACTACTCATTATGTGCAAATAATCAGTCAGTGTCAGTGTCTCTTGTGGGCAGAATATGCTCAGAATTCCTTGTTTCATGCCTCTCTGCTCCTAATGCAGCTGTAGTGTGTGAAAGGTTACCAGCCTCCACTCTTCCCCTGCTAGATGGAGCTCACCGATGTCCCCGCAGTTGGTGAATGGTTCAGGAGGAGCGATCAGATACGGGAAGCTGCACATGTGCCGCTGTCACACCAAAACACAGCAACAAACATCAGCCGGCGACCGTCATCGTCACCCCTGCTCCTCCACTGTAGGATCACACATGCACATATGACAGAGCTTAAATTCCAGGTGGCCTGAGACAAGGCCTACCTTGGTACGAGAGGCACTCGCTGGCCTAGGCACAAAAGGGGGGTTAGTGACCCCACACACACAAACACACTTAAATATATATATACACACACACACACACACACACAGATAACAAGGGAAGCCAGCGTTCCAACTTTTATGGCCCAAAGATTTAGGGACCTACGGACAGCAGAGTGGACTTCAAGGACAGGGGTCCCTCGACTTGGCACACAACCCCCTCCCCATACATCCTGCCTTACATACCACTCACCCAACAGACCAACACCCTAAAGAAAGTTTCATTTAAGTTTGGCTTTTGTATACCCTGTATATTGATTTACTCACGACTACTAGTCTCAATATACAGATAGGTTATGTTTTTATGTGTCCTTAGACAATCTTAGTGTTTTGTGTGCCACCCTTATAACCATGTTCACGGAGTATCACCTATTTTACCACTCACATTTAAACACTCATATAAATTTGAATAAATAAATATGTATAGCTACCACTGCATATATGTTCTCATGGTTATACTAGAAGAATCTTCAAAATTAAATGGTGTAACCAGGTATCTTAGTGTGTCCTAACTTTCAGAGGTTCTTCTTTCTTTGTTTAACAACCCCCCCCCCCTTTTTTTTACATTCCTCTGTGGCCCATATCTGATCTTTGTGGCCCGTTAGAAAGCTCTTTGTGCTCCACAATGCTGCATTAAAAGAACTGAATTAAGGTGTTCATTATCCATTCTGGAGAGCAGACCAATTGGAATAAGCCACACCAACCAAAATATGTTGTTCCCAGATGTGCAATTTAAATTGGTATTACCACAAACTGACGGCCATGCCTATCTAAGGGTTATGATGGGCTGTTTGAATGTGAATAAGTAATGTAATGTCTGTACAATTTACCCTAAGTGTAACATCTATTGAGGTGCAACCAAAAACACCTATACCATATACTGATGTGAGTCAATAACATACATAATATAAGTAATTATTAATTAATTAATACATGGTATGAGGTGTGAACCTGTGAAGCTGGTATGGCATGTTTGGTGTCAAACTGATGGACAATCACTCCTGATTCCAAATCTGGCCAGTGGTTACCATGGAAGTGCATGTATGAAAACTTACACCAGCTTACTGAAAATCATCAGTAAAGGGGAATCAGTCTGGTCATATATCCCAAAGGGACTGCCACAGACACCCCTCCGAAAGCCTGCCAAATGGATGGTCAGCCATTGGTTCAGGTTTCGAATTCCTGGTCACCCCTACTCATAAACTTTAGACCATAAAAACCTGGCACCTCAGAACAAAGCTGGGGGAGAGCAAGAAAGAACATCAGCCCGAAGAGAGAGGCAGAGAACATCAGCCCAGGAGAAGAGAAGCCCACAAGAAGCCCTCCTGAAGCCTGCCGGTGAAGGCCTGCTACCCAACAGAGAACTGCAACCAAGACAAAGCCTTTCACCTTACAGCTGCACAAGGAGAGAGAATCCAAGGGGCTCCGCTCCAACTACCACTCCAAACGCCACGCCTTCCTGAGTGCCATCATCCCGTCAGCTCATCTGCCTCTGCAACCAACTGCCAAGACCCCCCCCCCCCACTCTGCAACCAAGTAAACCAACTTCCTTTCATTCTAACAACCTAAGATGTTCTGTTAACCTGCTATACAACTGTAGGGTCCTGTTTCCACAAACTGTACTTGCTTTGCAGAACAGTATTTCCCTTTTAAGGTTACTCATTTAAATCCGGTCATTGCATTTCCATAATTACATTCTGTCTGTTTCTATTCCGTTATTTTGTGTTTGTTGTCTGTGTTAAGTGTAATGTCTGTCTTATGTTAGTTGTAGTGTTAGCTAGGAATAAATGCATGTCTTTTACACAACTTCAACCTCCGTTCATTGAGTGCTCACAATAGTCCCTTCCTCTGTGCGATCTAGCTACACACTCTGAAATCTCAAACTCGCCTGAAATATCGCGAGACTCTCTCTAATCGGCCGTGAGGGGAGCTTCGCTACCAATCGTTTACATTACCTGGTGATGCAGCTCGCTGGACGAGCCTTCTAGCCCAGGTTACTAAGCGATACTGGTAATTAGTGAATCTCATGTAAGTCTCACATTAACAAACTCACGGGTACACCGCAATTGAGTTTATAAAAAAATGGAGGAACCAACAATTCGGCATAATAATTAAATAATCAGCATTAAATAATAATTAATTAAAATTTAATTAATTTCAAAACCCAAGACAGCAAGTCTGATTGTCCCCCCAGGACATAAGGCTCCATGTCCCATCACAGAAGCTATTCCCATTTAAGACCCTGCTTAGGATAGACATGGTGACTTATCAGTTTCACTTTCTGCGCAAACTTTAAGTTCTGTATAACAGAACAGCAGTGCAGTATGCCATAGTGAATTGAATCTATGTGAATCGATCATTTCTGCATGTGATAAAACAGACATTTCACAAAATCTACAGTAAATAATGTTCTCTTAGTCCTGAATCATGGCTTAACTTCTTCCTTTTTTATACAGATTTTTTAAATGAACATTTCAAATACACATGAAGTATATAACCCTAAAACTGTACTATTTATAATAACTATTATCACTGATTATTATTCTCGACTGGATATTGTGATGCAACTTTATATAATAATCATATTGTTTATCATTAACATTTTATTTTCCATAAACTTCTGTTTGAAATAATGCAAAGTATCTTACTTATAAGAGAAATGCACCACAAACATACTGATCCCATGTTCGTTCATAATTAATCAATCATTTCATGTATTTCATGCAGGGATGATATTAGATCATGATTGGTTCTTGAATAATAACTGAGTAACTATTTGTTAACTCTCAAGTAAAGTGTTAACAGTAATACCTTACTTGATGGGGCACAGATACTTAGTAATAACTCAGTTTCTACTGAAGTATAAATGGTCAAATGAACAAATGTAGTTGCTACTTGAGATAAAACATGTGTTACGATTCATTAATGATGAATAAACATGCTGCAATGTGTGATCTGTTGATGTCACTACATAAAGCCATGGAAAAAATCAAGAGAACACTTTATATTTTTAAACTAATTTGCATTTCTACATCCTGACCTAATCGTTCTTCTGCTGCTAGAAGGCTATACTGAGCAGCAGGTAGCTTCCTGGTTCCAAATTTCTAAAACAGTAGTACCCTAGAACAAGGCGAATTAGGAGACACTGGGAATGACCAGAATCCAGCCAGGTGGAGGGTGGAAGCAACTTTCTAATGCCAGAGATGCCCATTAACTTATCCGACAGTTTCTCATGAATCGCAGGATGACATCAAATGACCTTCGAAAAGAACGGGAAACATTAAGTGCAGGTGTGAAGTGCACAGTTAGGACAGTTTGTACGAAGCTCCTAGAAGCAGGATGAAATACCATAAAGCAAGGAAGAAGCTTTTCATAAATGAGAAACAGAGAAGAACTAGGCTGCAGTTTGCAAAAAGAAAAAAAATATTCACAGATGCAGACCCATATATTGAGATAGTGCTCAGACCCTCCAAAAATTGTGCTGTGGTAATTTTTTCCGTGGTTGTATTTAAACAAAAAGAAAGGTTTGCATTCTTGTGGGTTATAAAATATGGATGGACATTTGGGAATAGGACACATTTATGAACATGT